ACCGCGGTCGTGATTTCTTCAATGCCTTGGATCTCTGGGACTCTCGCGAACCGAACACGACCAACTCGCCAATCGACGTGTCACGGCACGAGGCCTGTCCACCTCCGAGCTTCACGGGGGCCGCCGCGGCTGGCCGCCGCTCGGCCGCCGGCGCCGCCCGCCCCGCGAGGGGCGCCGGGGCCCGCGGCCCCGCGGGGCCGCCGGCGCCCTCCGGGCCGCGGGAGCGCCCCGCGGACAGCCGGAGCCACCCCGGCCGGGGCGGGGGCGGGCGCGCCTTCTGGGGAGCCCACAATTGCCCAGAGGTCGAGCGCACTGAAGAACTCACGCGACGAGGGGGTGTTCGCTATATTTTCGGCCTCTGGGGGCCCTTGCGGGGCCTCGGGGGCGTCAGAAAACGACTCGGGATGCAGGCCCGGTCCTGGGGAAGGGGTCGAGACTTCTGGGGACCCCGTTACGGGGTCCCCGTATTGGAAAAAACACGACATCGGATGGATCTCTGGGAAGGACGCACGCGCCCAACTATGTACACGAACACAGCCCCTCGATCCGCGAGACCCGCCGCGTGGCACGAACATTCGCGCAATGCGCACTCTCGAAACCAGCGTGGATCCATGTACGTGTGCGGCCTTCTTTCGCATCCTGCGCCTGGGCGGGTCGGGGATCTTCCGACCAGGGCCAATCCCGACCCGGGTCAGCGCCAGGACTTGCGGAATCCTGCAAGGCCCTGAACCCAAGCCCCGGTCCATGCGCAGGATCCTGCGAGATCCTGCAGATTCCTGCGCCCAAACCGAAACCCGGGTCAATGCGACCCTGGCCCTGCAGGATCCTGCAAGATCTGGCGCTCTGGCTGACCCCCGTTTGCATTGACCCATAGATCCGACGTCGTGATTTTTTCCATGCGGGGTCCCGGGAAGTCTCGACCCCTTCCCCAGGACCGGTTTTGCATCCTGAGTCGTTTGTTGACGGTCCTGGGGCCCGGGGCGAGGGCCCCCAGGGGCCGAAACCTGTGCAAAACCGCCGTCGTGATTTTGTTCAGTGCGTTGGATCTCTGTGTCTGGCGCTCTGGCTGACCCCCGTCTCTTTGGACGCCCGAAATGGGTGCCGAAAAAATGGGTACAATGCCCAACAGCAAATGTTGTCCCCCAAACCAAAAGCGGCCGCTGTTGGGCGGGCGGCATCCTGTCTCGAATGGACACAGGCCGCGGCGGCGCGGACAGCGAGTCCTGTTCAGAATGAACAGGAACTGCTGTTGGGCATTGTACCCATCCTCTCCGTACCCATTTCGGGCGTCCAGAGTCTCTAGGGGGCAAACAAACCTACCTCGCTTTTGACCACCCTCGCTTCCAAGCGATGCCCAACTGCGGCCTGTACTGGTCAGGAGGCTTGACGAGGAGGCGCGTGGTATGATTTGGTTTTTCCTGGAAGCGAAAGCGGGGTAGGTAATTCACGCTCTGAGTCTCAAGGCTCCCGAGCGGGGGCGGGCGCGCCTTTGCCGGCGGCCCCGCGAGGAGGCCCTCCGCCGCGCGCCCGCTGCCGGGCCTCGCCGGGCGCCCGGGCGGGGCCCGGGCGGCCCACCCGGGCGGGGCCTCCAGGGGCCTCGGGGCGTTCGCGATATACACCCTGCGAAATGCTTAAGAAATCATGGGTTAAGAAATTCATAGTCTCAGAACTTGAGTAGAAGCCCAGAATTCCCATCGAAATCTTGGGATTTACATGGAAACATTAAGAATAATCGAGACTCTGGCCGAAAACTTTGGTTTTCTTAAGCATCGCCTAAGGTGTAGAGGCCTCCCAGATGGGGTCGGAGTAGATGGGGTCGGAGGATCGCGCCGCATCGCCGATGCATCGGCGATGCCTCGGCGATGCATCGGCGATGCACCGTCAATGCATCGGCGACGTCCGCTCCGCATCGAGCCGCATCGCCGATGCATCGGCGATGCGGCGCGATCCCCCGACCCCATCTACTCCGACCCCATCTACGGGGCCTAGACTATAGGGGGGGGGGCATAGGATGGGGGGGTAAGACCCAGAGAGACCCAACGCACTGGAAAAGTCACGGTGGAGGTTTTTCGCTGCTTTCGGCCCCTGGGGGCCCTCGCCGGGCCCCAGGAGCGTCAACAAACGACTCGGGATGAAGAACCGGTCCTGGGGAAGGGGTCGAGACTTCCCGGGACCCCGCACTGAAAAAATCACGACGTCAGTGGGGAAAGGCGCACCCTTCGTGCACCATTCGTGCCCCTTCGGGGCCCTATGGGGGCTCGTTTAGGGTCCGTTTTAGGGCCCCGTTCGTGCAACCCTCGGCGCCCCCCCCACCATTTTTGGCGGCGCGCAGAGGGGGGAAGGCTTCTTAGAAGGAGGCTGCTTCTTGGAAGGCGCCGGCCTGACACCTAGATGGAGAAGGCCCGCGCCTTCTGAGAAGCAGGGGTGCTGCTAAAAGAAGCCCTCCCCCCACCCCCTCCTGCGCGTGGCTGAGTCAGGGCCCCCCTCGCGCAACTCGATCGACGCCCCCTCCATGCATCGCCCCCCGTTACCCTGGCCTTCCAGAGAGCTATTTTTTAGCTCTGGAGACCTACCAACCTAAAAAGCCGAGCGAAAAAGCCTAAAACCAAGACGTAGAATAGCTTTGGGATAGGTTTTTAAGTCGGGTGCTATTTTTTAGCCCTCCTGGAAGGTCAGGGTACCGAACGCCCGGGGCCTCTTCGCCGCCGCCGCGCCGGCCCGCTGCTGCAGCAGGCGGGCGGGCGGGGGCAGCGCCGGCGGCGCCGGGCGCCGCGGCCGCACCTTGGCGGCGGGCGCCTCCCCGCGCAGCTCCTGACCGGCCCCGAGCGCGTCCCTATCCCTGAGAGCGGCAAAAGCCCGAGGCGATGACAAGCTTAGGTAGGGGGCAAACAAACCTACCTCGCTTTTGACCACCCTCGCTTCAAAGGGATACCAAGCGACGCCAAACTACGGCCTGTACTGGTCAGGCCGCTTGACGAGGAGGCGCGTGGTATGACTTGGTTTTGCCTGGAAGCGAAAGCGGGGTAGGTAATTCACGCTCTGATTAGGTGCGTGCCCTCATAAACTGAGGGACCCTTCGGATCGACACCGAGGTGTCAGGGTGACGCCGACCAGAGGGATAGGGACGTGTTTCGAGCTGGTAACCCATAGATCCGATGTCGTGATTTTTCCGATACGGGGTCCCCAGAAGTCTCGACCCCTTCCCCAAGACCTGTTTTTCATCCCGAGTCGTTTGTTGACGGTCCTGGGGCCCAGCGAGGGCCCCCAGAGGCCGAAAACTGTGAAAAACCGCCGCCACGCTTTTTTCAATACGTTGGATCTCTGGGTAGGGATGTATTTCGAGCTGCTGAGCTCCCTCGCGCGCTTTCGCGCCACCGCGCCCATGAAGCGCGCCCGCTCCGGCACGGCCGGAGGGCTCGGGGAGGCGTGCCGCATGCTCGTCGGAGGCCCGCTGCGCAAGCGGCGGCCCGCAGCCCGCTCGACGGCGGTGGCACTGGCACCTCGCCGCCGGCCGGGGCAGTGCGCGCTAGTGGCGCGGGGGGGGCCATGCGGCTGCGGAAGGGTGGCCCCGGAGATCGAACGCATTGACAAAAACACGACGGAGGTTGTTCGCTGTTTTCGGCCTCTGGGGGCCCTCGCCGGGCCCCAGCAACAGCAAGAAACGACTCGGGATGAAAAACCGGTCCTGGGGAGGGGGTTGAGACTTCCGGGGACCCCGTATTGAAAACATCACGACATCGGATCTATGTGGAGGCTGAGAGCGCCTCCTGCTCGCTGGAAGGAGAGTGCCTTCCGCATCCTCCCACTCCCGCTCCTCCTCCTCCTCCTCCTCCTCCTCCTCCTCCTCCTCCTCCTCCTCCTCCTCCTCCTCCTCCTCCTCCTCGAACTCGCGCAGCCACTCTTCTATCTCTCCTCCTCCTCTCCTCCCCTCCTCCTCCTCCTCCTCCTCCTCCTCCTCCTCCTCCTCCTCCTTCCCCTCCTCCTCCTCCTCCTTCCCTCCATCTCTCGTGGCCCAAATGTAGCACTGCACTTCCGATCGACACGTAGTGGCTCACAAGGTGTCCCCGAGATGCCCAAATCGTCAAGCATTGTGTTTGCCTATCTGATGATTGCCAAAGGATGGCCCACAGGTGGCCCCGAAGTCTTCACGACCGGTTCCACGTGGGTGGGCTGACCTCCCACGAGCCACTGCCTTATAAACAACTCCTCATCGCCGCACCAGCAAACGTGTCGGCTGGGCGGGCCAGGCGTTTTGCCTCAGGCTTCCGCAACGCGTATGACGCCAAAGTTTGATCCATGCAACAGCGACACGGACGGAGGGCGGTTGACTGTCACGGTGTGGTTCCCGCCTCCGCGGAGCGCACGTCCGCCTTGAAAGCTTATGACACGGTGCACGGATGAGGGCGGGTGGCTTCAAGATGTGGCGTTCGCATTGGCTCCGCGCACACCCGTCCCTGGAAGCATCGAACACCCACTCGGACGAATGGCGGTTCCGATTCTAGTGGGATGTCGCTCAATATCGCCTCGACATGGCAACTATTTGAAGGCACGTGCAATGCTTGCTCGTTTTCAGAACGGGGCGATCGCTGGACACACCCTTGAGCGCGATTGCCCTGTCTCCTCGCACTCCGCACAAGTAGACGGATGCGGGGCGGCTCCTTCTTGAAACCGGGACGCAGGGGGCGCCGGTTTTTCACGAGGGCTGCTTCCTCCGCAATGGCAAGAAGGCTTCTCGTGGGGACTAGTGTGGGGGGGGGAATTCGGGACGGGAAGGTGTGTTGCAGCTTCATTGATGCATCCTGGGTTTACTCTTGTCTTCCTTTTCCTCCACATCCTCCTCCTCCTCCTCCTCCTCCGCCTCCTTCGCCTCCTCCGCCTCCTCCACCTCGTTTTCCTCCTCCTCCTCCTCCTCCTCCTTCTCCTCATCCTCCTCTGCTCATCCTCATCCCTTTTTGTCAATCCTCCACGCCCTTTTCCCCTTCCTGTCCATCCATGACGGCCTGAACGATGGCTCGGGCGCGCTTCTCTGGCTCTGTGGACTTGAATATGCCGCTGCCCACGAAGACGCCCTCCTGTTGAAAGTCAGCTGGCAAGGGGAGAACAGGGAGGAAGAGAAGGCCACAAAAAGAGATCACGACCCTGGCTATCAGCCAGGAGGGAGCACAAGGAGGGAGGGGGAGGAGGGTGGGTAGGAGGGAGGGAGAGGGGGCGAGACGTGAAGGGGGAAGGTAAAATCAGGCAATGAACTAAATTAGGGGGGAGGGGAACGGTGATGGAGGCTGTCAAAAGAGGTTGCACACAGGCCTATCAAGGGACACGGCCCCACCATAGTCCCACCAGAGGCTTAGCACAGGCCTGTGCCAGCATTTGCACAGGCCTATGGGCCTATGCGCAGATTGTGCATAAGCCTGTCGCGGGACGTCGACCCCTCCACATGCCCACCAGAAGCCTACCACAGGCCTGCGCGCAGCCTGTGCACTGGCTTACTTCTGGTAGGCCCATGCGCACGCACTGCATCAGCCTGTCGCGGAGCGCTGGCCCCCGTATAGCCCCATCAAAGGCCTCCGACAGGCCTGTGCATGGCCTACGCGTATAGGCCTATGGTAGGTCGACGTGCAGGCTGTGCGTGGGCCCATGGCGCGGCGTGGCGACGGCATCCTTCTGCCCACCAAAAGGCTGCCCCTGGCCTGCGCGTATCCTATGGACAGACCTGTGGCCTACGGTAGGTCTACGCGCAAGCGGCGCAGAGGCTTATCGCGGAGCGCTGGCCTCCTTTAAGGCACACCAGAGGCCCACCTCAGGCAAGTCCATAGCCTACACGTAAGCATATGGTAGGTCTATGCGCGCGCTGTGCATATGCCCATGGCGAGGCGCCGGCCTCCCTGTAGGCTCACTGGGACCCACTACAGACCTGTGCGCAGCCTAGTCATGGGCCTGCCCAGCCTGTCCATATGCCTATCGCGGGGCCTGCGCACACCCTGCGCATAGATCTATTGCAGTCCTGCGGACAGGCAGGCGACAGTAGGCCGCAGGGTGCATGCGCCAGCAGGCCCCGCAAAAGGCTGCCAATAGACCTATCATATGTTTCACTCATCCTTGCCTGGCCGAGCCGTCGCGGGCTGGCGTTTCAAATTGCACCCGCTACCTCTCCGATGGGCTCGCGTCCCCCAAAATTGCACTCCTCTACCACAGCTGGCTGTTTTTCTCCGCCCTTCGGGGACCGACCCGGCCGTGGTCATAAAGGACACGCAAAAATACGGTGGGCGGCTACACGCAGTCGGAGGCTACTGACATGGAAAGGCCAGTGTACGGAGGCGCGCCGCCGCATCGGGCCATTTGCGAGCCGGTTCCCGCCAGTCGGCCCAGAAGCGTGCCGGGGCGGAAAGCCGAGCAGCAAGACCCAGATTGAGCCGGGTGGCCTCTACAACCGCCTTGGTGGAGTGGAGTCCGAGCGCCTGCCGTGCGAAGGCCACGAAGTCGGCGCGAAGCCCCGGGAAGCCTAGAAATTCCCAGCGGGCCGAACCCGAGGTGGTGACCGAGAAGGGTTTTGACCACTCGGCATCTGGCCAGGTGTTCCAGCGAGTCCGAGGGTCCACGGCAAAAGGGGCAACTGGCACGGCCCTGAAAACGGTGTGGCGTGCACCAGACATTCAGCCACGTGGAAGCGACAACAAACCTCAGGAAAGGCTGGACTAAGGGGGCATGCTTGGAAACGCACGAGCATGCCCGTCTCACAGCGATTCCGATCGGCACCCCTTGCCGGAAGTAGGCGGCCCAACGAGAAGACCAACGCCGTCAGAGTAAATGTTCAAGAACCGGAGGCCCATCGGCGGCACGGAGGAGGTCGTGGAGGGCTGTCTGCGAGAGGTCCAAAAGAACGTTGCCGGTGAGGGAGGGCAGGGCCTGCACCGTCTGAGCATGGGCGTCGTGGAGAACCCGTACCGCAGACCCTGCATGCCAATCACTGGCCCAAGGCCTCACAGTCTGATGGTCGTGCCAACGGAGTACCTGAAGATCATGGTGAAGACGCCGCCACTCAATCTTCGGGGAGGACACGGCCTGGGCCTTGATGGCCAAGCTCATGTAGCGGAGCCGCAAAACGCGGTTGGGGTACCATAAATAGCGAGTCCAAGGAGTGGGCGGCCCCGACCGGCACCCGGCAACGAGGGCCACTGACCACCTACCAGACCACCCCAACCCAACCCGAAGACCCGAATTTGACCCGAATTTCGGGTTGGGGGGGGGGAAGGGTTCCGTGTGTTTTTCCAGCGTTCCCCGACCCCCCCCCACTGGAAATCGAGGATGCATTTGGACCTTCGGGTTGGGTTGGGGTGGTTTGGTGGGTGGTGAGCCACGGGTGAGGAGCTCGACCACATCGTCATATTTGTCGGCGGACTTCGGCGTTGTCCAGCAGTCTCCGGCGCGAAAGCTGCATGGCTGCGTGCGGCAAGGGGTCCATGACCGAGCACCTGAGACAATGCTTGCACTGAGGCGGTGACA